TAGGAAGCCCCTGTCTGTAATGGACAGGGCACTTTGCAGCAAGTGAGGCCTTACCTGAGAACCACCATCCCTTTTCCCAGTGAACTGGCTGGTGAGTGTCTCCTGGCCAGCTGGTCTTGCTGCCTGGAGCTGCTGATTCCCTGCCAGCCCTTCCTCCTGCCTGGCCACAACCACAGCAGGTCACAGCTTTTCCTGTCCTGCTGCACCATGACACTGTGGAAACCCACAGCTGCCAAGCTTTGACTGGAAAAAAAAAAGAAAAGTGACAAGGGGAAGGATGAAGCTGCATGAAGGCACAGGTCAGCTACGTTCTGCTTTTGCAGATGTAGGGAGAACAGCCCTTCCTCTGCCAACGTTGTGGCAGCTCCCCGTCCTCAGGGTCGTATGACCCTTTGCCAGCTTTTCTGTATTCATGCTATAAGAACATTTTTGCTAATAGACCCTGGGTGCTGAGCAGCTCATGTACAGACTTACATCCCTTTCAATTGGAAGTTGAGCTCCGTTGCCCTCCTAGCCAGCACAGCAGCTGAGTGAACACAACATAATGTCCATGAATTATTGTAGGCAACGCCCATGTCCTCCCCAGTGGTGTGTGGCAGGGTCATCTGCTCTTCACTATTCTGGTCTACCTGGGAAATCTGTTTCAGTGTCTATTTTTGTCTAGTATTTTCACTTTAAATCCAGTGAAGTGGTGACACATTGGTTATTTGACCATAATTCAGTATATAAAACCAGCCGTAACCAGGAACATTGCTTTCTGCATGGCCTTGAGTGCTGAAGGAAAACTCACCTGATCTGAATGCTTGTTTCTCCAGCAACACAAGCTCCAGATCTTTTGGCTGAGACTTTCTGGGCATTTTGCAGCCCTGGTTCACTGGAGAGCAGCTTTAGTGGTGTAATCCCACAAATGCCTGTGATGCGGCCAGATTTTGGCAGTGGTAGCACAAGCGTGCTCCAAAGTGCCCATGAGCAGCCCTGTGCTCCCACAGTCCTGATTGGAATGTCATGGAGCATCCTCTTGCTGCAGGGGGAGGCCAGAGGCATCACACCCTGGCTCTGGCTCATTAGTTCTCCATGGCACTACAGATCTGTTGCTTGCAGTACATTTTCTAATGCTCTTGTCATTCTGGGTATAAAGGTCTTGAAGAAACTTCTCTTACAAGTGATTTTGCATCACCTGATAACTCTCACCATTAGAAGTTTCTCAAACTGAGATTTTGTTTGCATTGCAAAGCAGGGGGAGCTGCAGTCCCTACCCTAGAAAACTCTCAGTCTAATAATTTTAATTTGGAAGGTCCTATAAAATCCAGCTTGCACAGCCTCCTTCCAGCTCCTGCTATTCTAAATATCCCTGACTGGAAATCTTGCCCCCAGTTTCAGAAGCAACTAGTGAGGCTCAGGCATCTTTAACTCACACAGTGCCCCCCACCTGGGGTCTTCTGCTGCATCCTCACGTTGTCACTGTTGTCACACCCAGCGTGGCAGTGTCCTGCTTCCTCCATCAGTGCCTGATGAGCAGGGGTGGGCCCAAGCAATGCAAGTGTGTGCCTGCATTTGTGTGCCCTGATGTGGGTGATATTGATTGGTCCATTAGTGTAAATGTCTTGGCTGTTGTGTGTTGCTTTCCTTGCTTATTAATCAAAATCATGCAAAATGAGAGAAAAGCAATTTTTTTTTAGGAAAAAAATGAAATACCATCCACAGTGACTGATTACAGCCTGCTGGAATGTGATGGGGCTGTCTGCCACCCACCAGGCATGAGGATCCCCACAATAACTGGGGAAAAAAATTTAAATGCTTTATTTTGACAATTTTGGTCAGTATTTGGATGTTGTGTTCAAGCAATGTTTTGATGGAAGATTTGCCTAAATCTATTTGTTTGGTTAAAAAAAAAAAGCATCCCAGTATTTTGTTTCTATCTGACATATTTCAGTCAATTGCAAATGGTTTTTTTGGATGTGTGGGTTTTTGTTTTGCTTGGAATACAAATGAAAGGAAACAACTTTAATTTGTGGGCACCTTGAAGTTATTTTTGCTACTGCCATTTAGAGAGACCTCTCCGTAGCCAGCAGTAGATGCAAAACATAAACAAAACATCTGGGATGTGAATATTCCCAGTGAACCAATTCACAGGTTGGAAATGGAGCTGGTGCTTAAGTGCCTTGGTGCATTGAGGCTTCAGCAGTAACAAATAGTACTAAGGAGTAAAAATGATCAATTAAAGATCTCCTAATGAATCAAAGTATCAGCCACTCTAGGTTGAGAAGGGCAGAAGCTGAAAGGCAGATTGGAGAAAGTGTGAAATCTCCCTGTTCAGTGTTTCTGATGGCGTGGTAGCCACAGCTCTGTGCTGCTTGTATTTCTTGGTAAAACTGAATAGAAGGGAAGTATGTGAGACACTGCTGCTGATCCTGTTTGTTTCTGTTTTACAAATAGTGGGGAGAATCTTGATATTTATTTCTTTCCCATACACAGAATTTAAAAAGAAAATAAAAAAACCAAACAAAAAATGGATGACTGGAAAAATTACTCTCTTTTAAATTGATTGTTGTTACCTCAAACCTTGGGAATATTCATTTGTTTTGTGATACAGTTGATGGATTCTGCTATGCAGCCTGGCAGTGTGTGAGAACATAATGCATGTAGTAAAGGTGACTAACCCCTGAGAACATCCCCACCGATGCCAAGTGGCCCATATGCTCTCATAAACACTTTTTATTCTTTTTTTTTTCCATACTGATCATAAGAGCCCATTTTGGGTAGAAGATCACATTAGGCTCATTCATTGCCTGCTGTGCTGGTCTGTGCATCTGCAGTGCAGCATCTCTGCACTGAGCTTTGGACTCATCCCTGCGTGTTTTCTGATACTCCCAATCGTCTGTCACGGGTATACACAGATCTTCTCCTGTGTGTGTCCTGGAGCATTCTGCACCAGAGATAAAAATTATGCTTAAAGGTGGCGAAACTTCTGGGGAATATGGTTGTTGATAGCTGATGTTAGGTTTTTTATATATATATATATTGTCAAGAGAAATTCCTGCAAATTGATACTTGTAGCAAAACTATCATTCCTTGTAGCAGAAGAGAAGAAAACTGACTGGCAGATGAACTGGCTCTGAATAAATTTAAAATCAAATGAGAACAACAGGTGTGAGACAGTAGTGAAATTTTACAGTATCCCTGCAAACTTTAATCGACACTTTTATTTTTCTTGAAGGTCTGTCCAAAAGTGAAATTTCAGGCCTAGGGCTACTGAAGACCGTCTTTAAAGTTGCTTTGTGATTTTGGGCAATACATCATACGAGCAGTGATGTTCAGATGATACATTGCACTAATACATCACAGGAGCACTTTTGCTCTTATGATATATTAGTATAATACACTATCAGAACACTATCACTGATATATTACTCAAAAACACAGTTTCTGACCCTCAAGATTCACCCTCATCTCTAGTCTGAATACACTGAAAGCTGTGGATAATGATAAGAATAAGAAATAACATATTCGGTTTCTCTAGGGTAAAGCTGAGAAAAAAAATAGTGTGGTATTTGGAATATTTCATTAACTGAAACATCCTTGTGTTTTCATTTTATTCACTGAGCAAATGGTATTATGGATAGAAGCTAACACAATATAGGTGTGTTTGAATTTTCTTACAAATAGCCTAAGAAAACCTTCTTTTATATTTCATATTTCATTATAGACTTAAGCCATGTTTTGAGAATGTTTCCATGAGGTGCAGGAGTTTCAGCTGATTTCTACCTCATAAAATTGAATCAGATGCAAGCTATCTAAATTCTATGCAAACCATTTGGTGCTGTTTGTGATGCAGTAATTTATTTTTTTAAAGGATTTAGGCACCATCTAAAAAGATCTGAAGATACATAAATGTGATCTATCACTCAGATTATTTGCAGCCTCTCCTCACTGAGGTGTTGGGTTTTTTTCCCTGAAGAATTATTCTCAGTTGTTTTCCTTTACTCAAGAGAGAAAGACAAAGGGAAAAAGTAAAAAGAATGCATTGCAATGTTGTTAGTAGTTGAATTTACTGCAGAAAAGTATTTTTCCTGGTAGAGTTTGCATCTTGAGGACGTCTTTTTGGTATGAACAGAGTGTCAGGAAAAGAAAAAAAAAGGTAATAGTAATAACACCACACTAAGGTGCCAAGTCATATATTTGTGTTCTTGCCCATAATTTTCTTTGTATTCCCCAGATCTCATCAGCACTTTTGACTAAAACACATCACCATTCACCTCCTCTCCAGGAGGCAGCTCAGCCCTGCTACCCCGTGGGCCATGGCCCAGTGCCAGGGGAGGGACACACTTCAGGCTCTGCCAAACTGGGCTCATATCCTGGTGCCTCACAGCTTTTGGGCCACCTGGCACTCTGTCCCTGCAGCTGTGTCCCCAGCATGAGTCTTGTGCCCCACAGGTTTGAGTATTTGGACTACAGCCTCTGGGGAGGAAAGGAAATATTTTAATGGGGTTTTTTAAAGTCTCTTTTACCTTGTGAGAAGCACTGTCCTCTCTGCCAGCTCTTCTGCCCACATGCTGTCCGTGGTGTGGCAGCAGCTGCCCTGTCCCCAGACAGGGAGCCCTGAGCCCAGGCTGCCCACACGAGCTCTCCATCTCCAGCACCTTCTTATTCCCATTTATTCCAAAGCCACAATGCTCAGCTCCAAGGGACATTGTTATTTCAAAGCTGTGGCTAAATATGTCTCTGACTGACAACTATGAATAATTCCACAGAGCCCCTAAACTTCCAGGCATTTCACTCTGAAGCTCATATAATTCACCAGGGCTGCTCTCTCATGTTTTTCATCTTTTATATTCTCCAAAGAGTTGAGATACAGTTATGGAACAGGTTAATGTATTTTCCTCTGAATATAATGCTGTGGGAGCCTGTGCATGGTTACTTGTGTGTGTTGAGAATAATGCTGACAGTTCAGAAAAGAAAGTCATGAACTCGATAATCATTATTTTGTTTCACATTTTCAGCATGTTCATGTCCACGTGCTGCCAAGGAGGGCTGGAGACTTCAGCAGGAATGATGATGTCTACGAGGAGGTAAGAGTTACACTCCTTTCTTCAGAGTTGGTTTTGCTGTTAGTAAATTGCTTTAATGGCCCAGGCCCTCCCATGGGTGGAGGGATGGGATCTCTGCATTTTTATTTCTTGCAAAGATCCTGTTACCGCACCAAGATCTATACTGAGATTTCCTTGTGAGCTCCCTCTCTGAGGGAGGACACAGTTGACACCTTTGGTACTTCAGTCTGTCACTGCATACAGGGTGCATCTCTACAAATAATTGTGGTCTCTTATTTTGAGGGCACAGGGAAAAAGGGTGACCACATGGTCAGCCTGGCATGCAGGGAGGGTGTCCTCTGCCAGCTGCTCGCCTGGGGTGCCAAACCTTCCCCTTCCAAGCAGAGAAAAAACAGGCAGCTTGTTACAGCTCAATCACAAATTGCCTTCTGGCCTGATTTTTGTAGGGCTCTGCTCAGCTCTGGACAAATCACATTGTAGCCCCAAAGATGGAAATTAAAGAGCAACTCTGCATATAGATGGAATATCAGCATGTGTGCAGATTGTGCAGCAGAGCTCGGCTCATGAGCTGTTCCAGTGTGACTGAATCACTGGCTTTTGTTTAAATGAACAATTGTACTGGCATTAACAAAAAGTTTTCCCCAGTTTGACAGCTGTCATAATGATTCCATGAAAAAATCTCACTATTGTTACATTTACGGCTTGTTCTTCGTGGGTTTGGTGGGATCCTCTATCTGAAATATGACATCTCCTTCTCTTTCTGAATGTAATTAATATAAACTTGTTCATTGCTACTGCAATACCATCTGCTTGAAAGAGACGTCGTGACATTTTCTGCTTTTGTATTTTTTCCTTTGTGATATCTACATGACGACAAGTCTCCACTCACAAAAAAAATGGTGGAGTGTTTTAAAGTTTCTCAATTACTTAAATATGCAAAAATGGAGGAAAAAAGCATATTACTGACAAGTTATATGAAGTGTAGTGCCTGAAAATTCCACTAGTAAGGGTAAAACTTAATGAGACTGCTGAGCAAGGAGATCCAATGGAAGTAAATGATGGCAATCTTTGCTGGTGTGGTGGTTGAAAGCAGTTGAATGAGGCAAAAGTTAATAGGGTTAAAGGCTTGACAGGCACTGGAAGAGGCTGTTCAGGGATGTGGTGGAGTCACCATCCCTGGAGGTATTTAAAAGATGTGTAGATGGGGCCCTCAGGAACGTGGGTTACTGATGGGTTTGGCAGTGCTGGGTTGATGGCTGGATTCAGAGACCTGACAGGTGTTTTCCACCTACAAGATTGTATGGTTCTATGATCTGTTCCTTTTCACATGTGTTAAGGGGTTTCAGATGCTGCATCAATCCATCAAATCTCTTTCCATTTCTGTCATATTTAGAATTCCATTTGCTTCTTTTTAAACACAATTATTTCTCCCTTGTTATAGCTAAACAGAAATAGGCAAAACTCTAATGAACTAGACTATGTATTTAGTGTTGTTAGATGCAAAAGGGTGGCAAATTGGGGAAGAATTTCTTTTTTATTTTGTCATTTCCAATTACAGCAATTGTAGGTGTTGCTTTTAGCAAACAGGAACCATAAATATTTAGACATAGATGTGATAATGTATCTTTTAGCAGAAGAATGTATAGCCTCAGAGTCTAACTAGCTATTCTTGAACACCACAAAGCTAGCATGCTTTTGTACAGACTGTAGCTGAAGAAAGATTTAATTTTTTTTAGGGTGCCAGGGAAACAAAAACACATTTCCTGCTATAAAAAGTTTGGTGCTGAGTTCTATCACTGTCTGGATTGAGGATGGAGGGACTTAAGCAATTTGCTATCACAGGAGAATAAAGCTATTTTGAAAAATGAAAAAGGGGCAAATTATTGAAAATATAGCTGACTTTGGAAATAATTTGGAGCTTATGTCAGTACAGCAAAAACATTTTGATATAATGCATCTCTGTGTGATGTCAGCAAGTCATAGCCTTTTGACAAGAAGATACTTTAAAAGATTTAGGAAGATATGTAGATCATGGTGGGGCAACAGGCTGGAAATCAACAAGGGATAAAGTACCATTAGGTGAGATGTGGGTACTGGAGAGAGCTTTAAATCTATTTTTCATGAAATTTCTATTTTAAAAATCCAAAACCAGTTCGTAAACTACTTCATTTCCATGTGTTTGAGTGATAGATGGAGTTGTAGGCAAAGATAGATGGACTTTAGGCAACAAAGACCACCTTCCAAGATCATCCCAACAGCCTTTTCCTTGTAAAATGTGACATGGAGGCTGATCAGCCTCCCTCAAACAGTCTGGGCAATTGTAAAGCACATCGAGGATAAATTGTGCATATTGCAGTGCCTGGTTTAGCTACCATAGCTAAAGGTTTAACAGCAATTGGGAGCAATTTTCACAGGCTCCGGGTCTCAGCTCTGGCTCAACATGTCTTTTGCAAACCCCTTTCTATCTGTAAGTGCCTTTGAGCTCTCCAAGCTCTGCAGTTGTCATCTGTATATGCTCACAAGATTGCTGATAAATCCCACTGCTCTTAGTCTGACAGTGAAAGGAATGCCCAGATGCTGAGACATCACTCCTCTTAGGAGCCTTCTAGAATTGAGACAGCCAGAAAGAAATTGCAGTCTCTCACTATGTGCTTAATTTCTCTCATTTTGGAGATTTGGAGTGACCACTCATCCGATGGAAAAGGCAGAAGAAAGCACATCAGGTTGTTCCCTGCTTAGTCTGTTTACTGGGCTCTGAGGTCTTCAGGCTTTTGGCTCTGAAGGTCTGACACAGCCCTGTCTAAAGCAGTTTTTAAGTGTAAAGAGTATAATTAAAGGTAAGGTGTTTCTTAGCACTTGTATTTTAATCAGGTATCTGAAGGACACAAATGTCTGCTGATTTCTGGACATATTTTTAGAACTGTGGCAGTGGAAAATTAATTGTAGAAGGAATAAAACAGGGTCTGACACTTATTTCACAGCACCTTCTCTAAGGCACTCCTTGGTAGAATGTGTCACTTAATATTTTAGGGTTTTTTTTCCTTAGTGCATATGAAAGAAGTCACTGTGTGGTTTGTCCAAGATACAAAGAGAATCACTAATAGTAAAAAAAAATCTTCATTTAATATTTTAGATGTATTTCCTCTGCATCTTTGCAGGGCTATTTCTTGGAAGGATATTTCCTGGGAAGTGTTAGTTATCCACTCTCTGGGCTCACTGTAGTGGAAAGCTAAAGCTATAGTTTATCAGTTCTTACATTTCTCTGCAATTATTTGAAGCCTAATCCTGCAAGTGTGCACATGCCAAAGTTAAATTGGTCTTACAGGATTTTTTATAGGATAAGGCCCTTCATCTTTTACTATTGCTAGATTACTTTTCTCATCTTCATCTTGAATAGTTCCTATTCATTGATTCTTTATTTCTTGGACAGCAGAACAATAGCAGCTGAATATTAGGAAAACCTTCAGTTAGAATAACTCTTTATACCTCTGTATTTTCTGTTTGGTTTGAAAGAGATTATATTTTACATTTATTAATCAAGGAACTTAAAAGCCTCTTATGAAGTAGTTGCTTGCTTTGAAGTAGATGAGTTCTTTGCTATTATAAGGGCATGTCACAGTGACTGATAAGAATTTGGTATGAAAGGACATTTTTATTGTAGAACAGCCCCCAAGTGTTGTTGCAGTCAGCACAAGTACTGCAGTTGATGGAGATCATCGTGTCCAAGACATTCAAGAACATTATCCTGAAAAGCCTTGGCACTTCCAGGCATCTGTGGGCAGCCCTCATTCAGTGGGTGTTTGAAAAGTCCATAGCACAGCCTGTCCCTGGTCTCCACTGAGTGGTTAGCCATTACTGCAATATAAATAACATTCATCATCCTTTAGGCTGGCAGGTAATAGCTGCACTGGGCCAGAGACGATGGGGCTCTCTCAGAAAGGAAGACTCAATCAAAACTCTGCACTCCTGTTATGAGTGCTGACCTCAATAAGTTAATTTTGAGGCTGACAGACTGGCAAGGGCAGCCTGGCCTCTCAGTGAAACCCTGAGCATCCCTGGCATGTTGAGGTGAGTTTTGTGGGGCACACCCTTGTTCCTCCCCAGATTCTGTGTTTTCACTTGGTGCCTGCAGCCTCCTGTAACAGATGCAGCTGGCACAGCAATGCACACCCAGGGCTGTGCAGGGCAAAGAGTGCCCAGCCCTTCACCAGCCTTGCTCACATGCCCTCCTCGTTTCACTGCCTGTCTGCAGTTCCCAGCCTAGACTGGAAAACACTGCAAAAGAGGAAAGTGTGAAAAAGAGAGGTTAACCCAAACCCCTGTGTCTCCATCCTCCTCTGCCTGCCAGACCTGCGTCATGGATCTCTTCTAATGAACCTGAGTGAAACTTCCTACTGTGAGTTCTTCAGTAATTTATGAAATTTTGTAAAAAGCCAGCAAAAGAATTTGCTTCATGCTATCCTCCTTCCCCTCTGGCATTCAGGCAAGCAGTGAGAGACTCACTTAGGAAAAGATACTTTGACTTAGTGATCTCATTCAGCATGTTATGCTAAATAATTTTAGCAAGAATACCTATTAGTAATCATTTCCAGTTCCAGGAAGGATGAAGGAGGCATTTTGGCATATGAGTCAAGAACCTGCTGGGCTGTTTCTTCAGGCTGGCAACACAGGAGAGCTGTGGTGATTTCAGAAGTTTAGTCAAACAAGCCTGAAGTTTAATTCTCCCTGAATGGCTTTGACTGTGACATGCCATCACTCCGAGCTGCAGACAGCATCCTGCCTGCTGCTGGGCACTGAGCCTGGCACAGGGCTGGAAACCTGCACAGCTGCACTGAGCTGCTTAAAGGGCTTAAAGGTAAGGCATGAAGTAAAAAGATAAATAAGCCCTCATCCAGGTCCTGCGAGACAAAATGGAAAGATGCCCAACAGCTCCTGTGAGCATCAGATTGAACTATTCATGAAAATTAATGGCATGCAGAGCTAATAGGCTGTTCCTTGGCCTCAGAATGATATTGTACCTT